AAATTGGTATATGATGCTACTATATCATTGTTAACTATCCACGTACATATTTTTTGTATTTCTGAATTTATACAGGGTTGCTGATATATATGGAAACGGTCGATTATCTCCTAAAGTAAGATATCTATCGAAAAATCATAAAACACAAACGTTTTAGGGTTTTTTAAAATCTATTACAATAAAGAAAAATTAAATATTCAGAATCAGTCAAAAACTCATAATGAAACAAAGTTGATTTTTCTTTAAACCCTGTACGTAATTCCATATTTTAATTTTTTTCGAAATTCTAAACAAAATTCACATAGCATATCATGTACCTAAACTGAACCGCTTTCGAGATATCGCACTTTAAAAATAATTTTCTTATGAATTATACAAAAATATTTTACTCCATCAATTTTATAATCCATCAAGTTACCATTGAAAGTTTCTAGCTCCATAACAATGCCACTTCGTTCTTTTGTCTATCGTGACAACACATGTCAAAAATACATTTAGTGTGAATAATTTTCTCGCAAAAATGGCATGTTTAAGTGAAACTGAGCATATTGAAATTTTAGTGATCGTGAACATTTCTCTAAATCAACTGTTGCAAAAACATTATAGTATTTTCGTGAAATTGGTGTTACAGATCAACAAAAAAGTGGAAGACCAGTAAGCATTACAAATAAAGAAAATTTTTTCAATATCACGTTAGATGTGGTGGAAAATCCGTTAAATTCGACACAACAGAGGGCTTTAAATCATAGCATGAGTCAATATTCCATTCATCACAACTTCGTATTCTATCACCATATCCTATGATCATTAAAACTTCAATACGCTTGGTTTCACTTAAACGTACCATTTTTGCGAGAAAATTATTCACACTAAATGTATTTTTGATGTGTTGTCAAGATAATCACTATTAAACAAAAGAACAACGGGGCGTTGTTATAGAGCTAGACAATTTCAGAGGTAACTTGATTAACTATAAACTTAATGGACTAAAATATTTTTGTATAATTTATAAGAAAATATAGAAAAATTAAAATATGGAATAATATAGTGTTCCATTAAAGAAAAAGCAACTTTGTTTCATCATGACTTTTTATTAATCCTGTATACTTAATTTTTCTTTATTGTAATAGATTTTAAAAAACCCTAAAACGTTTGTTTTATGATTTTTCGGTAGCTATCTTTAGGACCGTTTTCATACATATCAGCGACCCTGTATATTTAGTTAAGAAAATCGAAGGAAATTAGAAATAATTTTACTAAATATTAATCATTTATTAAAAAGTGTAGATTTATGAAATATAAATTTGTTATTAAATTTATGGCACAAACATCATCCCAAAGTCGATATTCAAATAAATGATGTACCTAACTTTAAAAGATAAAGGAAATATAGTTAATTTGTTGAATAACAAGTATTTTTATTAAAGATGGTAAAAATATAACATTACTAAAATTTAAAACTTACTGGTTAAATGAATAAGAAAGTGTTGGTATTTCAATATATGTAATACATTAATAAGCCTATGATAGATTAACTTTTGAGATCATTGATATTTTAATCATCACCTTTTAATATTAAGGCACAAACAATGTTTTTAATTATTTAATCTGCATCAAAACAGATTATATTTTCAAATAAAATAATTTGATTTTATTCTTTCCTCAAATAAAGTAAAAAATAATTTAGTTTTACATGAAACTGATTGATATATTTAACAATTTTAGACCCAATAATTTTCCAAAAAATTGGTCAACGTTTATCTATATATGTGGTGCCTTTTTATATATTACAAAAAGTTGGTCCTTTAATTGGTCAAATTTAAGACAGCCAACTTAAAATCATAAATTAGTGTAACAATAAACATCTGTATGTAACAATTTTTGATCGATATTGGGTGAAATATTGGTAAATATACTGCTTAAAATTTAGAATCACTTACATGCCATATACGATCGTTCAATTTATGTATCATATCAACTAAAACTTAAAAATGTTTCAATAAATTTGAAAAATATAAAAATCTTGGTAACTATCTATTCAGTCAGTATTTGTATACTTATTTGATGAATTTTATTTTAAAGTTTCAATAATATTACAACTCTTTTATACAGGATGTGCCAAATTATATAGATCAAACTTTACTTTTACCTCACAGTTCAAAATACCAAAGTACCAATAAACATGGGCCAAGAAATGTTTAATTTTCGAGATGCGTTCAAGTTCTTGAAAATAATTTTTAGAATACTTGGATCATCTTAATTGTTTAAGTATTACCTAATAAAAAACAATTCAAATAAACTTTATTTTATCAAAGTTAAAGTTAAATAACAAAATGCCACACAAAGAAGTAGAAGTACAAAGAAGTCACTAAATGATTCTTATCAGCAGTTGGTTCATCTTATAAAAGATAAAAAGTGAAGTAACTATAAATTTTTGTTATCGAAATGTATTTTGGAATTACATTTATAGAAATTGTTACTGTTAACAGCTTACATCTCAGACACTAAGTACTTCTCGACCAATGTTCCTGACAATTTTCTTCTTATTTTAAAAAGTTCTGTTGCCCTTTATGCAATTCGGAACACCCTGTATATTTTAGGAACATATAGTTAGTTACTAAAAGGTATTTACCCATATCAAAAATAGACAAAAATTGTTAAATGTGACAAAATACAAATTTTTGTTTAAATAGGAGATAAAAATTTTGACTTATTCCATGTCAGATAACTGTGATTGTAAATTTTTTCACCTGAGGACTCAGCAATATCTGATTTGTGATTAATTACATACTATTTCTTAAACATCTAAAACCTATGGTAATAATAATGGTATTGATAAAATTGAACTATTGCTATCAAGTAAAAAAAAATGTCACGTGTCAGTAAATACTTTTCAAACTGCCAAAAATTATATTCTTATTGTAAAAAACAAAATTTAAAAATAATTAACATTATAATTTGTACTAGGGCTGTGAACTAAATTTGAAGGATTTACAATAGATGGCGTAACTTATGGCTATATTGCATCGGACACTTCTGTAACTATGTTCATGTCAAAGCCCTGTCATTAGGCTTCACATTTCATTATGTGCCATTTTACTGATGTATAAACATATTGTTTGTCGGCTCCGAAGATGCCGAATTATGAGCCAACAAATTTCGATTTGCAGGAAGTTATACATTTCCTGTTTAATTTAAAGAAATTTTTGCCGTTTTAGAAGGGGTAGTTTCCATACAGTTGACAAAAAATGCCCTAGTCGACCGAAAAAGTTCGAAGACGAGGAATTGGAAGCATTACTCGACCGAGATTCATGTCAAAGCAAGATGAACTTGTTGAATCATTGAATATTGCTCGCACAACAGTGTCTTGACATTTAAATGCACTCGATATGATTCAAAAGCAAGGAAATTGGGTGCCATATGAATTGAAATCGAGAGATGTGTGAATAATTGTTTCAACGGCAAAAAAGGAGTTTTTTCTTTCGTATCGTCACTGGTGAAGAAAAATGGTGGGACCAGCTTGGTGTTATGTGTACTATGAGTTAATTGAATCGAATGAAACCATCACTGATGAACACTACCGAACATAATTGATGCATTTGAGCTGTTCATTGAATGAAAAACGGCTGCAATTTGAGCAAAAGCATTATAAAGTAATTTTTTAACATGACACTGCTCGACCACAGGTTGCTCATGAAGTCAAAAAAATACTTAGAAACACTGAAATGGAATGTTTTACCCAACACACTATATTCATCAGATATTGCTCCATGGGATTATTACTTGTTCCGATCCATAGACCACGGTCTGGCTAAGCAGCGTTTCCAATCTTAAGAAGATACAAAAAAATTGATTGATTGGTGGATAGCATCAAAAGACGAGTTGTTCTTTCGACACAAAGTCCATATGCTGTCAGAAGGACGGGAAAAAGTAGTGGCTAGCAATGGACAATACTTTGAAAAATAATAAAGCCTTGAATTTACAAAAAAATTCTTCAAAATTAATTCACAGTCCTAGTATAGTGGACGGAAATTTTGCAATATTTCTACGATTTGAAGTCAATATATGTTACTATAATAAACATTTGGTCTGAAGTTTTTTTCATGAAATAATGTAAAATTGGTCACATTGTGGTACAAAAATAAAACTGATATTTGTAATTTCTACATTTTCCTAGTTTATATTTGCTCTCTTGTCGGCTGCAGAATAGGAAAATAACTGAACTACAAAAGTATTTAGTTGCCTTTTTCAAACGTTCAATAAATTTAAAGCAAACTTAGAAAATTTTACTTTCTAAGCAAACAAACATAAATCCATAATTAAAAATTAACTTTTAACTAAGAATAAACCAATATTATTTTGCAATGTAGAAAAAGCTAACTCGGCATTAAGAAAAGCATAGTTATGCCCATAATAATAGACAGGATTTATTTTGTTCTTGTCTCTTTTTATGATCGTAACCAGAAAGTCAATATGTTCAACTACAAATGCATCAGGTTTTGCTATTTTCACTCTTCGATGAATAAGGTTCTCCATTAATTTTTTCATACCGAGTACAGTACATAACATTTCATAAGTAACATCATTGTGTTCGAACTCATCTGAAGTTTCATTACTTTCCTCATTACTTAATGATTCCACTATAGTCGGTACTTCATGACAGATTTTAGTAACGCAATTCTCAGTCTCTTCATCGGTCTGGGAACAAAAATCGTTATAACTATCTATATCCTTTTCATCGCTTGAGTTTATACTGTTTATATCCGACGAAACTCCTTCCGCGGTTTGGAGATTATTTGAAAGTATTTCCTCAATATTTAATGACTCGAAAGCATTGGTAGGAGCACCAACAAAAAAGCTTTCAAAAAATTTTTGTGCATCATTAATAACAATATCAAAATTTTCTTCTTTTAGTTTCTTGGTTTTATTCTTTTTTACTCTTGTTTTATTATCATTTTTAACCTCCGAGGATTTATTTTTATTCTTAAAATTGATATTACTTTGTAAACTTTCATCAGTATTATTGTTTTTATCTACATCACAGTTGAGATTCGTTTTATTGTCAATTTGTTCTTGGTTGGAGTGTTGTCTACTACTACTTTCTAAAAAATTTTCAGTCTTACTAGGTAACTTATTTTCTAGAGATTTATTTCCCATGCCACTATCTTCTTTACCTTTATTAGCTTTTGTAGTTTCTATATCAGTCTTTTGATTTGTCACTGAGGTATTTGCATTTTTAGAAACTGTTTTTCCTAACTTTTGTTTATCATAAGGTTTTTTTGAATGCAATTTTTCTTTACTATTAGTATTATCAAATTGTTCATTTGAATCCTTTATTTTCTCTTTTTTTTGTTTATTTTTCCCAATATGTTTTTTAGAATATTTTTTATTATTAATAATTTTACCATCGTTTTGATCCATTTTACAATTATCTAACATCTCATAATCATTATCCAAGTTGTCCTCTAATTTAGCCAACTGTAAGACGTCATCCATATCCTGTGCTAACTGCTTAATATCTTCTGAATTGTCTTCCATATGAAAATCAATTTTCCTTCTTATAGAAGGCTTAGTAAGTACATGTGCTGTTATCGGTTTATTTTTGGTGCAAGTCCTCTTTTTGGATTTTTGAAATATCATCGTATGCAATATATTTGTAAAGTTATTCCAACCTTCAATTTTACACATTAAATTTAAATCCACTAAATCAAGTTCGGTGAATTGCAAAAACGATCGAATGCAATTCAAGAGCACAGCACTTCCTCCTGCGTTTTTTGATAAAATCCCTAAAAGCAAATACTTCTTTCACAAATAATGAACATTTTAAGTTTTTAATTAATAAAAGACTCCTAGTGTCGAACTGGCAGTAAAATGGGCGACCAGACAAAATATTTTGTTTCGCCGCCTCTTGTCTAACAAAATATTAAGATTTATGCATGCAATTGGCACATAGTAAAAATCTATTTGTTTGTAGTGCTAGATTGTATAAAATGAAACATTTATCTTGCATACATTTATATTTCTTTTAGTTTATGAGTCGATTTGAAAATTATAAAAAAACAAATGATCAACTACAGAAAAAAAATTGTATAATGGTAAATTGTATAACTAGTAAATCTTATAAGGGGCAGAGACGAACCGTATTTTATCAAATGTTATTAAAAAATGCAGTCATAGGTGGCTCATGTCATTTGTTTAAAACAAAACAATGACAGATGACACATATTAGCTTTCCAATAATTACAGTTTTATCAGTTTGCGTCTTTCAATTTAACTATACGAGTTATACGATTTACCATTGTGCAATTTTTTTTCTGTAGTTGATCATTTGTATTTTTATAATTTATTGTTTGTTAGTTAGTATGTGGTATGAATAAAGTTATTATAACAATATTTTAAAAGAATATTTTGTCTCGGTGTAATTTAGATAAAATAATTATATTTTCCTGTTATATCATACATTGCATATTGAAGTCGACATATCTCAAAAACAAGTAAATATAGGGAAAAACTTTATATTACAAAAATTATTCAAAATTTAACGATCTTTCAGATGGACTGCATTTCCACGTTATAGGGAACAAAACATTTTTTAGTATCGCCATGCCATCTATACAGAAAGATTTGAACTAACAATTCTAACTACAATTTGAAGCTACTCGAGGGATCTAACAACCTCAATTTCCGAAAATAAAATAAATTTCTTCATTTCGGAGATATTGGCAGCGGGAGTGTTAAATGGCACACCCTGTATATATCATACTTTTTCTACCACTGATTTAATTCTATCTAGTTAAAGCTCAAACCATGATACTACATTGGTGAATTCACTAATTTCTATTTTACGCATTACATTTTACTGACAAAACCAAGATCATGGAAAATTTTTGTCCAAATTTAAAGCATTTGTTGAAATCAGATTTTTAAAGAAAATTTTGATTTGAAAAAAGTCAACAACAAAAAGTTTGAAAAATCATTAGTTATTTCAATTTTTATTCCTGTTTAGACATAGGCCAATCAATAGAGCATTCAATCAGAGAAACATATGCTTATGTTTCCTACTCCAGTTTACCATTAATTAATTTTTTATGAACATTTTTATGCAAAAAAACGCATTTTTTTTAGTTTTTTGCTTATAAAACCTAAACTAATGAAGCAATCTGAATGCTATAAACAGACAATTTGTAGAGAATCGAAATACGAATAAAACAAGAGAAACCCGGAAAAATAGTAAAATAATTTTTTTTAAATTCATTACTCCGCCATTTTTTTAAGTTGTAGAGCTGATCCTGTGCACAAAAGTAGTAAATTCTATGTACTTTAAGTGTGCAGAAAGCAGGCGCTGTCAGATCAGTAGCTTTGGCACAATTGCAGCTGGATTTTAAAAGTAGAAGTACAAAAAGTATACCTATTCTAATTTTTCAATAAAATTATGCGTACGCGGTCGAGTAGTGTGGCAAGATCGGGAGTTGAGGGCAGTGGATATCTATATAGATATACAATTTATCATATTGTCAACAACCAGAAACAGCCGAACTTAAGCGTGCACCAGTGATAGAGTGGTAAGAATACGCGGAATCAGAATGATGTGAAACCTGTGGACATTCCTTGTTCCTGCATTTTTAAACATTTACACGAAATCTTGACATCAAACGTGAATTTGGAAGTTTTCTTACAAAATGTACTATTCTGTTCCAAAGAATACGTATTGTACGAATGTCTTTTTAAGTATATCGTGAAGGACATTTTATTGCATTTTGTAAGTTTATGAACTATACTATAACTAACAATCCTCAAACTCTATTGATTGGCCTAACAAAACATTATGTATATTCACTACACAATTTATAAAAAAATTAAAAACCATTTAATTTGTTCTATGCAAAATGACTTCTATTACTGTCAAATATCTGTAAGTAAAAAGATAGAGAAGTAAAGAAGTGAGAAGGTATACCACAAATGGTAATTATGCTACTTCAAAGTAATTTTTGCTACATTTTGGAAAAATTTTCTTTTTATTCAGTGTCTATTACTTTAATGGTTCTCCTACAGTATATATTACGACCAACTTAGTCATATTACAATCGCCAGGTTAGGTTGAAATTTGTATTATTCACTGTATTGGAGAAATAACTTTGAATAAGTTAAAAAGCAGTGCGTTTGATTTTAAAAGAATTAATTATACAAGATGCGTTCCAAAAGTAAACAGGACATTTCAATAATAGGTATTTCTAAAGAGGTCATCCATTGACAATTACATACTATTTTGAATAAATCGGTTTTTACAAAAAAAAAAACTTATTTTTAAAAAAGTCCTGTTTACTTTGTAACTTTGGAACTTGTAATGTTACTTATTCTATGCAACATATTTAAAGTAACTTTGATATTCTGGTGACTGTAGTTCAAAATCAACTGAGTATTTTTTTTTGTCCTATGAAGCATTTATAGCCTACTCTCTACACAAATCTTAATAAGTTACAATGACTTATTTCTCACTGTGTTAGTTGAAATTCTTGGAGCATGGCCCATTCATTTCCAGACACACTGTATATCAAAGAATTTCAAAAATGTATAAAAAAATTTAAAGTAATTTTTGAAAACATTAATTACTTATATAAAACATTTAGGAACATCTCATATATGTATTTACATATTTCTAAAATTTCAATAAATATTTAAAAAGATCCAATTAAATATTTTATTTGTATAGATCTAATGAAATTTAACATTGCTTCTAGGCCCACAAACTGCAGCACTAGAACAATATATGAATGTTAGCTAAATTTTTAGATTTAACAAATTTGGAACTTACTAAATTATGTATTTAGTACTCAACCTTGTATTTGAATATGTTTCATTGTTTTATTTGATTTGATTTTTATTTTTATATACTACTGATATTTTTATTTGGACCCCCCTATTCGTCTACTTGGCCTGCCAAACATTTACCCAGTGGTCAAGTCCGACACCAACAGCATAATTTTTTTCTAATCAACCTACCTTGAGCTTCTAATTCTAAAAGTTGTTCAAATATCTGTTGAGTAAAAATATGAATCCTGCGGGAAATATCTTTGTTATCCGACAGGTAATTTGATAAAATCTTAAACTCTGATGATAAGTTTAACACAAGGGATATATCGCTCCACGAGGCTCTGTATTGTCTAGTATATTCAGCAAATTTTATGTCACCTTCTTTAAATAAATTCTGCAATTTTATTAAAAGGAACTGTATATCATAAATGTGGACTATCTCTTTAATAGGAGCTACAGAATAAACAAGGCTGTCAGCATATAAATTGAAGTCTTTTACCTAAAAAAAAAAAATGATTTTCACAAGACCTCATACCTACATAGCATAAAATACTCACTTTTCAATACAATGGCAAAAGTGCTGAATTTTTATATTCAACTGAATTTTTCATAACAGTAAATTTGATTTTTTTAAATTTTCTGTTTTAAAATTTTTATCTTAATAAAAAAAAATTGTGCAACACTCAGAAAGTTGATTAATCATACTTACATCAATGAGATGACTTAACATTCCCTTAAAAGATTCAAAAGGAGGGGACACAGTACCGACAACGTGAAGACCCAGTTTCCACAAATCATTTATATATGCTTTTAGGCATTCTGCCAAAATGGCACTTTGATCTTTATATTTATATATTAAAAGTCCTCCAATAGGTTGAAAAAGATCACCAGCAACAAAGCGGATACAAAAAATTATAATATGTGTAGGAGAATCTTCACTGCTGGGATGCATTGGATTGATTTCACTTAAATTGTACTCATTCATGGTTAACAGTACATTTCTATCTGAAGGCATTAACGACAAAATCTGTTCTGTTAATAAAGCATACGTTGTAGTGTGTATAAGATAAGGACGGTAGAGTTCTGAAAGCAATATGAAATATAAACATCAAATACAAATATACCATGAAGTAAGAAGAAAAAAAGCAAAACAAATGTATGATAAGCCATTATATTATATATCATATATACATTTTAGTTACTCTATCATTTGAAAAACGGTAAGTACTAAGTAGATACCTACTATACATTATAATATACATATCAATTTTCAAACATATTGATTTCAATATTTAAAAAATTTCTTATGTCGATTTTTGCTTTTCAAAATTTTTTACACCACAATGCACTGTAGAAAATAAAACCACTTTTAATTTACGAGTATCTACTGTGCAAAATATGGAGCAATGCCATTTAGAATTTTTATGGAAATGACCCTGATGATTAAGGAGAGTAAGCCAACAATACCATATCATTATGTGCGCCCTTTTCAAAAAAAAAAAAAATGAGCCCCCTTTCCCAACAATAATCACTAAAAAAAAATGTATATTTCGAACCAGAAGTTTTTAAGCAATTTTCTAATTCTTAAAAGAATGAAGCAATATAATTTTACAGATATGTTAAATAATTAATTGACCTAAACCATGAATTGCTTTAGTAATGATAAGTATTTAGTTTTATACTTAATTCCATGTATTAAAAGTATTTAATATAAAATATTATTATTTTTTTAATTAGCATAGCCTTAAATCAACAATTTTAATATCATGTGTGGTAGGTACTTTATGCAACATAAAAGATTGACTGATTTTCAATAAGGAAGCAACTTATACCTACAAGATGATATACTCTTAGTGAAATGAATCTAAAAAAAGTAAAAGTATGTTTGGTGAAAGTTTAAACATTAGGTAATAGAAGACAAAATAAGTTTATTTAAAAGCAATGTACTAAAGACCAGTAAAGATCCAGTTATTTATAATGTGCACCTATTTCCTTTAAACTCTACATTAATCATAATATGTATATGTACAACTATAGATTACTTACCATCAATATCATCATCATACTCGTCCATTTCATCTTTACAACTTTTACTTTTTGGATCATGCTTTCCCATATCTACTAATTTGCACTACAAATATGTAATACAATCATATTATACTACAAAATACGTAATTATAATATTACACCTTTAATATTTTAATTGAAACAAACTGAACATTTCTATCACAGATCATTTAAAAATGCATTTAAAAAAATTTTTTAACCCGTGAAATTAACGTTTAATCATACTATATCTTCTTCTTCTTCGTCTTCTAACAGGGCCCGATAACTTATACCAGAGACAATAGATAACTATAGATAGCTAACTCGAGTGGAGGGGGAAGGACTGTAATAAGCATCAGCGCCAATGTGTCAAGTGTATCAAGTAGAAGTCATTTAGCGGGACTTTTAAAATATATTGATAATATTAAATAATAAACTTAATTTTGCTTAATATGATTATATCTCATACTGAGACTGTAAATAATATACCATAAAGAGACAGTATGTCACATTACTTTAAATTTTGAAACGTCATCAAAGTAATGTACAATAGTGTTTTTTTAAGTATATTATCTACAATCTTAGTATAAAATATAATCATTTTAAGCAAAAGTAAGTTTATTAAAACAACCCCTACATCAATAATCCTTCTACTTCATGGGATTATTTCTTAATTGTTAATGGCAAAAAATACTCAAACTCTAAAATACTAAATACTGCCACAGAAAAGTAATTTCAGACAATATATAAGTGATATAGATATTATTTAAAATATTGTTTCTTTCTAAAGGATACAATTGCTTATTTTGTTTTTAATTTTACTTACCTAATATGTACTTCAAATGATTTCTTTGCACTGTTGTAAACAGTTTTGTTTATTTTATTAAATAAAATGNACTGAATCAGATTTATCTCAAGACATTCCGTCGAATGTATTTGAAAGTATTCTTGGCAATTTATCTTTTCTTTGCACAAAATTTATACGATATGGAATATTTCAAGAGGAATATGAGTGTAAAGCTTCTTACTTATGTTCTGTAATTATTTGGGACACATAAGGTAGAAATTTTGACAAGTGCACACTTCCAGGTGTCTGGGGGTCTTCCACAGCTACTATTATCTCTTGGACCTCAGCTTCGGAAGGACAACATCCAAGACCTCTAATTATAGTAGCGATCTCCCGAACGTCTATAGTTTTATTTCCAGCGTGATCAAACACTTCAAAAGCATCTGCGATTCTTCTCTCCAGGTCATTATTTATTGGCACTAAAATGCATTTTAGAATCACCATCTTTCCTTTTCTATGTCACATTAAAATGGCAACTTTGGTCCTACCTGGAATTTCCACCTCTTCCTCATCCATTTTGATTCGTTTTAGAATATGTTATGCACTTTTTACGATTTAAATCGCTGCAAGATAAATTCTGTCTTTCAGAGTGACTGCAATTTCCATAACAACGTAATTTAATCGATATCTCCAGCAACAGAATTGATTTCACAAGCTAAAGGATGGCAGTATGGGTTCTTTAAGCTTAGCAGTGCGTTTAGGTACGATATAATTTAAAAGAGGTCTGTTTCTGCAGCAGTTGAGGACTGATTTGAAACTATCAGATACATTTGACCAATATATTCCTGACCATATTCTTACATTATTCGCTGAAAGTAAGTGACAACTTAAGTGGTCGAATATAGTGCGGCTATGCAGCCTGGGATGCGCTTTGCTAAGGTGGCCCTTAGGCTAGCGCGGGAATACCTAAAACAAATATTGAGTAGGTAGGTATGTAGAGCGTACAACTAGATGGCGCTTGCATCTTTTACCGGCTACAGGTAATTTAACTCACTGTATTACCGATAATTCCTAGAAAAGGAAATAATAGAAGTTGGAGAAAGTGTCAACAGTTAGCGCTGTTAATGACCACGAAATCTGTTCAAGTTTTCTATCTATAGTATCATTTATCTAGGTCTTCTAATATTTGATTTTTTACTTTGATCATAAAACAGAAATACAGAAAACATCATCAGTCAACAGTAAAAATGTAAAAGTTACTTTTCGTGAAAGCAAAATTGCCAGATTTATACCTGAATTTCGTAGTTTACCAAAACAGATTTCAAATAGTTATTATCTAATGCAAATTTTGGTTTGTTAGTATTACATCATATAATATGTTTGTTCCTTTTTAATTTTTTGTGATTTTTCATTTGCTTCCTTGGTGTACTCAGACTAATTATTACTCTGAGGGTGTAAATTGGTGACATTAGGGGTTTACGATAATTGTATCGGAGTGGTCGGAACAAGAAAATGCCTTACGAATATTCACTCTGGTGATTCGATCCCATTACGAAAATGCAACCTCAATGTACAGATGTAGAAAATCTGAGCGCTCTAGTCGCCCTTGCTTATTTGTCAGATTAAAGAATGATCTGAAATTTGCGCATGCGTGTTGTTTATAGGTATAATAAAATAATTAAAAACAGATATTTCGCTATGTTACAAAGACAGATTGTTTTGTTAACTGTTGAATAAAATGTGAACTTTGTTTCATTCTTTTCAGTTGTCTTGTGTAGAGAAAAAATAAAAAATGCCAATATGTCAAATAACAATTTAAATATGGTAGATGTAGATGAACATTATTATTACCGTAGCGGTACATCATACAGGTACCACTTTCCACATTTATTTATAGAATTATTGCATGTAGGTAGATAGTGATAGAGGTTAGATTAGATCGGTTTCGACTAGGTGCTTACGAAAATAGTCAATTTAAAAGAGCACTCTGACCAGAGTAAGCGCGCGCCACGCGCGCCATTATTCCATGGCTAGAAATTGGCCTCAATGATTTGGGATCGAGGGGGATTATCCCTCTTTATCCTGCCTCATCTCGTGTAGGCCGGGACAGCCTTNATTTATGAAATATTTTATTATTTCCAGTTAGTATTGCTAATAGTAGTAGTAAAAAAAATTATTGGATATTTTGTGCTGTACTGACTTTTATACTGTTATGACTTCATAAAATAGATATTTCAAAAGCGTTCAGAGCCGTACTAGGGAAAAATTTTAAATGATAGCTAAAAACCTTTTTAAGGGATTACGATAGTAATATCATCTACTACAGAATTAAAAATGACTAGATTTTGTCATAAAAATAGCAGCAAAGTATTTAAAAAAATTAACCCCACGATGGCCCCTCGAAGACGAAACGTCGGATTGCAAAAATGTTGCGCCATTGTATAGAGCGAAAAAAGTGGCATTGTAAATATGTAATTTATTTTAAAATTCGTTTTCAAATTTTTTTTTATTTTTTAGGTTACCTGCTCATACGCAGGGCTAGGACTAGAGAGTAATCGGAAACATAAGTCGTTCACTAATTTAGAATATCTAGCCCAAGTCGGGCGAGCCCGCACACAGCCCGCATACTCATCAAGTGTTGTATCTGCCAGCTACGGCTTTTCGCCAGCCAGCCAGCAGCGGTTGGAAATATATGTATATTTATGTGCTGTAATTTTGTTCTTTAAATGAATTTTTGAACTTTAAAACAATTTTTCCCTGCAAAAGTATTCTAGAAAACAAATATTAGTAAAAGAAGTAATAAACCGTTTTATAATAATTTGTAAATCGCATTAAAAAATAAATATCTATGATATGTTGAATGTTCTTTGACAATTATATTTATTAAGGTTATTTTGAAGCGTTACTGTTAAACTAAATTAAGAGTGATTGCTGAAAAATTTTCAATATTTTAATAGATTCGAGTTTGTAAATATGGAAGTGATATAAATTATTTTTAGGACTTTTAAATTCGATACATATTTATTTATTTTTTCAAATAATAAACTGGTCGATTAAAAAAAATAGCTTCTATTTGATATACTTTTTTTTTATTTCAATCAGATTTTTAATAAATTATCATTTGAATATACATAATTACCTAAAATAACTTTACTCTCCGGGCAAGCCCTTCGACTTCACTCGTATATTCTTCGGGTACTTATGTGTAATCTGCGGTTTGATGTTAGTTTTATTTCATAGATTAGGAAGGTAGAGATTTGTTATTCCTTGTACTTCACGGCTTGGTTGTTTGTAAGTTCTAGGTTAGGTTTAGTATAGTGGTTTAGGTAAGTTTTTAATGTTTAATAGTTTGGAGTAAAGCAAAATGGCAATAAATAGAGGAAATAAACTAAACAATTTTGTTTTAGAGCTTCAGCATGGTTGAGAGCATGCAATAGAAAGGATCTTCTCAAGAAAAATCCAGAGACACATAATTATCGACTTTGCGAGCTACATTTTGAACAAAAATATTTGTTCAAAGGTGGACTTCAGAAAACTTTATTTGTTATCTTTGTATAAAATGTTACAAATACAGGGTGGTCCCTGTAAGTAATGGCCTGTGGAGAAATACTGAATTCTTTACTTTTAAGATTTTTTAATAATAAAAGCTCGTTACTTAAAACTTACTCGTTACTTAAAAGCTTTACATTACTCGTAAAAAATATTACGCTCACATTTACGTCACATACTTGGCTTATGCGGTGCCCTCTAGAAAATACATCGAAATAAATAACAGATGATCTCTCGTACTAAAAACATTTACCCTAAAATGTTTACATTCTTATATTCAATAACATAATTATTACCAAAATGTAATTTTTAACTTCGACACCCTGTATCTTTTTTATTATCAACATTTTATTAAGAAATGTTGGCTCCAATCGTAATATTTTGAAGTAAAGAATCTAGTATTTCTCTATGGGCCATTACTTATGAATAGTAAATAATATTGTGTATTTAATATTAAAAAATAAATATTTTTTTGTGGTATTTGGATTTATTTATCCAACTATATGCCCTCTACACGAAATTTTTAATTGTAGTAGTAATAGATGCATATCATGTGTAAATCAAATTAGCTTTTTTTTAATTAAGCATAAAATCATGCCTTACAGCGACAACCAATTTAATATAATTTATGTCCAACTGACTGTTTTATGACACAAGCTATTGAAAATTGTACTGGAATTATGGATTATATTATTCATTCATATAAAAATTTATAGGCTTAATATCTCAAAGTAAATTTTATAACCTGTTATTTCAGTATATCTCTGATAACCTTTCTCTCAGTGTAACATGTTGTTCACCACCGTTCAAGTTCGAATATTTTCATAACATCAAAGGAGCCGCCGTTTATGTCGCTTCTCTGTAGTTAGGATATTCTGTGATAAGAGTAACTAAATATTACATGGGTATAATCCCAGATTAATTCAAACTAATCTGGGTCTGGGGTATAACGGTAACATAACATTGCCAAAACACCCGATTCCAAGATCTTCTTCTTGATCGAACGTAAAGTTGCAATAAGATGAAACTTTCAAAGCGACTGCTACAAAATTATAATTTTCTTAATTTTATAAAAAATAGGAAAGGATTTGTACGACTGCCTATTTATACCATTATTACTTACTGAAGATTTTCTAATGAAACACTTTAATTCCACAAAACAGAATAGGTGTACAGTACATTCACAGTTATAGTGGAAAAAATGAAAATTATTTTAATTATACAGGGTATTAATTAAGTATGTACAATAAATTCAACACACGATTACTTGAGTGATTTTAAGAAAAAAAGTTCATATAAACATTGATTCGCAGATGCGTCGTTTTCAAGATACAGGGTGTTAAATATTTGTAAAAAAATTGCTATTTCATAGATATCTTAAATACCCTTTACCCATTTTTTTTGTAATTTAGCAGTATTATTTGTAGCGTCTAGGGGCTATCTTAACTCTAACTTGATTAGATTTATTAAGCCCACTGGCGTTCCCAACAGTAACCTTAACAAATATTTTTGACAAAAAAATGTACCGACTTAAATTTTGATATATTTATATAAAAATACAATTTTCTTGTCTCTTGAATGTTTTTCATATCTTATTCAATATTTGTAGAAAGAAATAAAATCCACTTAATTACATATTGACCTTTACTTTTTAATTTGCAACAAAATTTTTTTTTAAGATTTAGACTGATTTACCCCAGTCCAATTTTATTGGATACCTGCCTATTTTTCAGATCATGAATCATAAAAAAAAATTTCATTTTGTAACAAATTTATCAAAATAAAAGGGAAATTTAATTGTGTGCTTCCAAAAATTCCTGACAGTTAATTCAAAAACAACGATGTGTAAGACATTTTTAATAAATTTACCTATTTTAAAGGTGAAACAAGTTAATATTTATAATCGATTACCCGAAAATATTCATTGAAGCATATTTAAATTATTAAACATTGAAATTAAATAAAAATGTTTCAGCGCAGATAACTTAAAAAAAAAATAAATGTAATAAGGTTAATTATTGGCCTAAAACCCAAGGAAACTACCGATACAGTTTTATTGACAAAATTAAATACGAACACCCTTGCATGTTTTATCCGGACAATCTCTATATGTATCATGAAATATAAACGGGGCCTTCATAAATGGTTAATTATAAGTCCCGTGACCAGAAACTTTGTCTGGAACAGTAATTTTATTTCCTTCACGTTGAAAATGAAATTTACTAAAACGGCAAAATCGAGATTACGTTAAAACATAACATTAGGTTCTACCGGCTGGTGATTGGTGTAACTTTACCTGAGATTTATTCAACAAATCAGCGTTACAAGTTAGAGATTTTTATTT